AGGGGGACAGGCCTGCTTTGGTTTTGGAGGCAGGGGCTGGAAGCCCTGCAGTCTCCAAACCACAGAAGCCTCCTTTCCAAACACTTTCCCCTCTGTCAGCAGTCTCCCGGCTCCGCCACTTGCCTAACCCCACCGCCGGGGGCCTTCTGGTTCCAAAGGCCTGGCTGGCCGAGGAGCTGGAGTGGAGGCCCCGGGAAGCACGGCTTTCTCTTGTCTAGTTCCTCCATGACCCGCGGCCGGCCTTCCCGGCCAGCTCTGCAGTTTGCAGTGCAGTGTGTCCTGGCCAACTCTGCAAGCTTTTCTTGGCTGCCTGACTTCACTTAGCCCACAAGGCTCAGGCTGGGAAATTACATTGTTTAGGGTTCTTATTTAAGAGAGACTCAGAGACAGAGACATCATAGGCTTGCACTGCTTACGTGTGGGTGACTGCAGAACTACGTGTTAGGTGGGTGTCTGTGTCTCCGTGGTCACTGTATGTCTGTAACTGTGTGTATGTGGCAGAAGGGGTTAGGCATGGAGCCCTGCGTGCACCTGTGGGTGCGGCTATAGAGGTGGGCAGGTAACGTGAGTGTGAGCCGCTCAGTGTGTGTGTGACTGGGACTGTGGGAACAGTGTACACAAGACCAGCCTATGTGTGGACCTGTGTGACCCTGAACGATACATGTGTGCTACATGTATACTGGTGGATGATTGTGTGCACAGGACTGCGTGACGGGGACCAGCAGGCACACTCGGGGGCTGTGCACAGGTGCTAGAGCCTCACTGGCTGCGTGTGTCTGTGTGTGCACCAGGAAGCCACGTCTGGGGCTCGGAGTGTGACGGTGCTTGGAGCAGTCAAACCCTGGTCCCCGCTGAGTGTCTCTGGGCCTGCCTCCTGCTGGCCTTTGCAGCCAGGCCCGGGGCTGCATTCTGGCCCCGCCTCTCTGCAGGCAGTTAGGACGACCTCTGCTTTAATTCAGCCTGTTCTTGCTGTTTCTCCAACTGGGCCCCTGCCCTGCATCAGCCCCCAGGGTCCTCCCAAACTCTGCCCTAGGACAAGCTGGGTTCCTCAGGACCAGCACTCTGAGCTTGATGCTGGTCCGGCCGTAGGCTGTGGCTGCCCAAGAATCCAGGTTTCCTGCTGCCTGGGGCCCGGGGAAGACATCAAGACACGTTTTCATGGTCACTTAGAAACAAGCATTGGGGGCGGAGGAGGGCGATATGGGCGTTCCTGAGATCCAGAAAGACCAGGGCTTTTTGCACAGCCCACTCGGAGCTGTGAGCCGCTTCCCAGCTGTGCCGTTACCACGAGGGTGCATACGCTGCTCTCTGCAGGGCAGGAGAAGCTGGCCACCCACTGGTCCAGGGGTCTGGAGAGGGTTAGGGGCCCCTCCAGAGGCCCTCTTCCTTCTTTCTTACCTTCCAAGTTCCTGGATGTCAGAAAGGCCCTGGGCCAGAGACCTCTGAACCACCACCGTCTCACCTCCCCGGTCAGACCATGTGCAGGCCAGGAGCCTCCCTGGAATCCTCTTGATCACACCCCTCCTGAAGTCCCGATGGCTAGAGCTCGTGGCTGGACCGGACACCTCACCAAAGTTCATTGCACTGCGTCCTGGTTCCAGGCTGGGTCTGGCTTTTGCTCCCTTTCTAGTTCCTGAAGAGCTGGCTGAGGAAGGTTAGGGGCTGGTCCTCTTTTCTACTCTGTTCCCTAGCAACTGACAGAATAGCTCTGGCAGAGGGAGGCCACTCTGGGAGCAAGGAGGCAGTGATGGCTGGGACAGCTGGACGCCCACGTGCAGCTTTCAGGGCAACTACGGCCTTTCCTAGAGGCCCAGAGACCTCCTTCAGCACCCTCTGCAGGCCCTTCCTCCTTTCTGGGGGACCTGTAAGTCCCTGGACCCCTGTCCCCAGGATGCTGCCAAGAAGAGCCCCAGTGCCACCTGATGCCCAGCAGCCCTGAGGCCCCCGCCCCACAGCAGCAGGTGAGCAGGTGGCTCCCACTGGAAGCGCGGCGGCCTGGGACAGAGAGCAGCGAGGAGGGGAGCAGTGTTAGAGGGGCAGTGGCTCCGCGGTCACCTCGGCTGTGCTGCCTGTTGACCATCCCGCCCAGGGTCCACCGGCGATCCAGGCGCCGCAGATGGGCCTTGCGTCTCTTGGACACTGGTGTGGGAGGGGGCGATGGATGGAGCACGCGGCCAGCAGGAACCGGTGGAGAGAATGGAGATGAGGATGAGATGGGATGGGCGAGGGAGGAAGGGCGGGGGCGGGGGGAGGGCCAGTTCCAATTCGCCATCCCTGGGCTGAGCGGAGGGCACACCACTGCGGGATGGGGGCAACGTCATCGGCACGTGGGGAGAAATGTGACGCAAGCCAAACCCTCAGCTGATGCCCCGAGCCGAGGAGAGGGCTTAAGAGCGTGGAATCCGGGACCTTAGAGATGAAAGCCCATGGCTGCAGCCCCTGGGGATGTCCTGCTTCTGGAGCTTTCTCAGGAGGACTCACATCCACGCACCCCCAGGTACCGAGTGTGCGTCCGCAGCCGTGGGCCGGCAGCCCGTGCGGAAGGATGAGTGTGCCTGGCAGGCACTCGGGCGCTCTGGGCCAGGGCACGGCCTTGCTTTCTCACTGGCCTTCTCTGCTGAGGGCCAGGACTCGGCCTGCATCTCTGCACCCCTGGGCTGAGCACAATGCCTGGTACACAGTCAGGTCCCTGGGAGCATTTGCTGAGCGCACACACATGTGGACGGATGCCACGGCCCGGCTGTCCGTTCTGTGTCATGCACTGGGATTTGCGATGGTGGAGGCCCATCTCCTTGCTACTGAGACCCTTCCTGAACTCGCTCTCTGGGCGACGTCCTGCCCTGACCCTCTGGCAGCCATGGCCCAGCTCCAAGCCCATGTGCACCCTCTGCTCAAGCTCCAGGTTCCCTGCTGTCCTATGGAACTAGGGGAGATGAACACTGGACAGGGCACCAGGGTGCCAGCTGGCCCCATCTCCCGGGCACACAGGAGGGTGCCAGGCTGCCAGGAGAGGAAGGAGGCTGGCAGGAGGAGAGAAAGCAAAGCTGTACCCACACCCGTGGCTGAGCCCTGCTGGCCTCTTCAGAGAGTGTCTGCCTTCCCAGGGAAGGACAGTGGCCCACCGGACCTGCCTCTCCTATGCGGGAGGCCTGTGGATCCCAGTCCAGGCCCTGCTGCCAGCCACCTGTGTCTCCCGGGAGGCCTGTCATTCCTCTCTAAGCCTGCTTCCCCACCTGCTGCAGGGTGACACCACCTGCCCTGGCACAAGCCAAGGCAAGAGTGTGAGGCTCTGGGGAGCGCTGATCAGAGGCCCCCGGGTAAGGCATCTGGGGGGCAGTGGGTAGGAGGGAGGGGCTTCTCTGCGGAGACAGGAGCTTCAGCCCATGCCAACAGGGCCACCTTCATGACGAGTGACTTTTACTCACTCTTTGCCAGGCCCAGTTCAGACATTTACAAGGACCACCTCACTGGAGTCTCATAAAAGCCCTAAGTTGTCGGCACCAGCCCCATCTTACAAATGGGGACACAGGCATGGGGCATTACGGACCCCTCTGAGTCACACTCCTGTGTGTCGGGACAGCACGTGAATCCAGGCAGTGTGGCTGCAGAGCGCACTCTCATCCACTCTCCACCTCTCAGCTGCCAAGTGGGGGACACGGCGGGGCTGGGGAGAGGTCTGGGTGCTGGGGGTCCGGGGTGCAGCAGCATGGAAGACCATGGTCTGTTCGCCAGTCCCAACACAAGCCCACCAGGGGGGAAGGCAGGCCACTGCTCACGGCTGGGGTCACAGGGGTACATCCGGAGCCCCAGGTTCTGGTCTGGGCTCCGCCACTAAGTAACTGAGGACTCAGGGAGGTGACACCCCTCTCCTGGCCTCTGCTTCCTGACCGTTGGGAGATGGCGGCTCTCGAGGGTCATGAAAGCACCTCGAGAATGTCAAGCTGGCACCCTGATGTCTGTCGGGGGGCTTGAGGGCCTGAACCTCATTCCTACTGCAAGCATTCCTAAGTTCTACACAGCACACCTGGCTTCGAGAGAAACACAGGCAGACACCAAAGCGTCTGATCGAAGTCAACGACAGTCCTTGGTCCTTTCCATAGCGCTGACGCAGGGGCTGTTAGGGAGGCTCTGAGCAGATGCAGGCTCCAGCTTCTGTCTACAGGGCTCTGGGGACGAGGACGGGATGACCTCAGGGCTGGAGTAGAGATGGATGCCGGGGGACAGCAGGAGTCACCTCTTGGCCACCTGGCTAGAGACCTGTGGACATCCACTGCGGCGGGGCTTGGGGCCTGGGGTGCAGGAAATGCCCAGGAAGTGCAGGTGGAGCCCACGGGTGTCTAGCCGTGGCCAGGGATGGGACACAGGCCCTGTCGGAAACACACGGAGGAACTTGCTCCTCGGAGGTCATCCCGGGTGCATGTGTGTGTGATGCACACGCACGTGCACACCCACATGCCTCTCCAATGCAGGCCCTGCCCTGGCTGCCTGGTTCTTACTCCATCAAGGTCAGAATCCCCACAACTTGCTACTGCTCTTTCTGGCCCTCTGTTCCAACTCGGCCGCTATCGGGGCCCACAGGCTTCTCAGGCTCTCTCCTGCCCTGGCCTTGCACCCAGCGTGTCCAGTCCTCCACCATCCACCACCATCTTCATTCTGACCATCCCGAGGCCGCCTTTGTGGCCAGGGGCTCCAATTCTGCACACTCGCTCTCTCCAAAATGGAGCCCAGAGCTGCCTTCACTGCTTGTAAGCAAAATGCTTCACAGAGAGGTGTGTGGCCGGGGGTGAGGACCACAGGGAGAAGGAGGCAGCTGGGGTCACGCCCTGCACGGCTGAGCACGAAAACATCTCCAAGCTATATCAGTTTTCACAGTGAGGAAAATGGAGACAGCAACGCTGCCCTTCCCCCTGCCAGGGTGGTGGTGAGGTCCTGGCATGACCCACTGAGTGTGCACCTGGGTAGGAGTGAGGCCTGGGGCGTGCAGACAGACCAGACCAGACCAGACCAGACCCAGCTCCAGGCCAAGACCCCCCACTGCTGCAGAGGTCGCTAGACCCAAGAGGAGACGGAGCGCAGGCTCGGCGCCAGGGCTCAGGGAGCAGCCCTGCCTGAAACCCCAGCCCCTTCCTGATGGTGCCCAGTCCCCTGGGGACCTGTCACAGGTGGGTGCACATCAAGGGGCGGGGGCCACGGTCAAGGGGCTGAAAAAGAGCACTGACCTGGGAGGGAGGAGGGCCCTGACCACTCACTGAGCACTCCTCCACATTTAGGGGAAGGATGAAGAAGGAGCTGGCGCTTGGCGGGCTGCTTATTTTGGCCTGGGCGGCAGGAGGTGAGGGACACAGGCCTGGAGGTGGCCTGAGCCCCAGGTGGCAGGCCTCCATCCCCCTGGCTCACAGATCCGTCCATCTGGACCATCCCCACCT